CAATCTGCATGCTAGCCCGACTCAAACGATAGTCGGTAAAGGCTAATCAAACCCGTTGATGGTTGAGAATTTGCTAAAAATTCTATAAATATGGGGCATTGACGTATCAACTTTATTAGTTGGTCTCCTGGCTTGAGCATCCAACGACTTTAATAGTTGGTCCTGCAGCCTAGAATTTGGGACCGTCACGCCCCAATGCCTTAAGAGCTTAAACTGTGTAGAGTCAAGCAAACGTATGAGTATAAACTGTGTTAACGCTGGTCAACGCGTTACAACAAAGGTTGATGCCGGTCAACACATCAGCAATCTCGCCAAAATAAGGCAAACGATGATTTCAAGGAGTTCAATCGGATTCAGATATGAATTTTTGATGAGATGATCAGTTCAAAGTCAACTCAATGACACGAGTTAAGTTCAGAAACTTACACACCGACTTTAATTCAAGATTTCGACAACAGTCAGACGATAAACGCAGCGCCGGAAGAACTTCATCTATTCGACGAAACACTGAATAGACTGAAGGCTGAAGAAGTCAAGAATTGAAGTAGTTCACAGGTCCCTCTACGAAATTAAGGAAAAGGCTTATCTTATCCAAAGCCTTCCAAACTCTTCTATAAAAGAAATGAGTCTGAAATGCTTTGGAGGGGGTATCTATAGGAGTCTAAAAATACCAATAGGTATCTACACATAGCTCGAGACAGAGAGAAGATGATGAACACCATTATCTAAGTCAAAGAGGAATATCCGACACCGATCGATGAATCAACGAACTATTGATGACGTGGCCCGCACGCTCACCGGCCACCACCAAGTGGCCCGCGTGCCCATCAGCCACCAAATCGGCGAACTAAGTGGCTCGCGTGCTCACCGGCCACCACCAAGTGGCCCGCACGCTCATCGACCACCAAAATAGCGTACAGATCAACGAAACGATGAAATACACGTAACAACGGAACGAGTCAAACCTGAGAAAACCAAGAAAGCCGCTGGTGGCCGGATCGCGTCAAAACGATCCGATCGGGCTAGTTGGCTCGGCGACCAAAGGCCGAGCCACCATTTGGTTGCTCGGCCTGATTGGTGGCTCGGCGCAGGGGAGCCACCATTTGGTGGCCCGGCCAGGCCGAGCCACCGGGTGACGTCTCAGCCTGTTTCGATCTAAAAGTGTAATTTTTCGGTTTTGATGGTTTTTCTTGGGATTTGTTTATTCCTGAGCATCCCAACTGGTTTGATACTATGGTTAATTAGTTCTTAACTAAAGATAAGGAGGAATCCCTCGTTCTTATCCAATTACCGGCTTCCGAGGCTTATAAATACGAGCTTGGGTGCTCATTTCTCAGGGCTGGACATCAAGAGGGCAAAACGCTGCCGAATTGGAGAATGGAGCCACGAATTTACAGCAAGGGTTAGCAGATGTTGGCGATCTCCTATGCATAAAGAGTGGAGTTCGAGAGATCTGAGACCCGTCCCCTATTCCTCCGGATTTAAGCTTGGTCTTAAATCTCGAGAAAAGTCGTGATCTCGCTTGGTCGAGATTACGCTACAGCGATTACTTCCTTCGTGAAGTAAGAGCTTTGTTCTTCAATTTGTCAACTGGATCTGATCCACGGCGGGCCATAGATATTAACGTCCCCGGCACAGGCAAAGTTCCCATGCAAGCAGCGGGTGATAAACGTCCGTTGTGCTGTTTGATAAAAGTCGTATCTTTTGTATTTTCATTGTATAAGGAGATCTTATAAAAAGATCAACTTTTATTCGAGTTTATTGTAAACGATTAAAGTTGTAATAGATTTAATCACAATGAAAACAGTGATTTTTGACCCAAACAACTGGCACCAATTTGGGAGAGGGGAGACTTAGTTGACGAATTTGAACCCCTCTCAACAGTGGAGTCTCCTGAGGAAACGTAGATTCAAGGATTTCTGTCATGAATTTCTTCATCTTCTCCCCATGAGGACTAGTTGACCTCATTACATCTTAGATAGATCCTTTTTTATCCTTAATAAAATTTGTATCAAATTGATCTCCATGAGAAACCAGACTCAGATTTGAAGCTCTAAGACCTATATTAAAGATCTTTTTACCACTATTTTTCTTCTTTTTTGCCATCAAGATCTCGGCAGAGGTGTAGGTTAGCAACCCCAAGATTGCGCGCTAACGTACACCATCAGAGCTGCTCCCTTCCCAAGATCGCGCGCTAACGTACACTCGATATATATTGTGATGAGACCTATATTTTCATGTATATCTGTATTATGAGTTGTTGTGGATGTATAATAAAACAGGTTACATGGTATTTGTAGCACAATTTATATACTTGATAGTATTAATATTCTGCCTATCAGGTCATTACCCATGAGTGGGGCATGACAATATAAGTAATAATAGTTTAATTATAATTTAATATTACTTTAAACACATCAAAATACATAGTTCTAAAAATTAGGGCAGGGAAGAAACCAGCAAAGGCAGCAATTTATTAGATCAGCTTTACAATGTTATATATCCAAAAGCGAATAAAATTTCCGAAGACTCTTTAAAGACATGGCTGGGTGAAATTCATACCGGAAATAGAATAACGTTAAAATTGTGAATATTCTCTCTCGCGGCCTACATATTTCCAAGGGATATTGTTATATTTTATTAGTTTTGGGCTTCAAGTTAAATAAATAAATAAGTCGGGGTGAGAATAACAATTCCCCTGTTATTCTATTCCCATTGTTCCTAACAGTAGTCCGTATCTTGGGAGTTGTTGGGGGCGAGGGAGTAAAGAAATGGGTGAGAGCGAAAGCCGGTAGAGTGGGCCCATTCGCTTGCCTATTCTGCGAATGTAAACTGAGCCCAAGTTAGCACCTAAGATCGCTAACGCTTGATGTCCACTTTCAGACTTTAGTCCCTTCGTCGGTCTCAAATGTTGGTGTAGATAGCGCTACCCGTGGGACCCATCTCATAACGCCCCAGACTTTCTAAAAGAGTGGTGGACCTGCTCGCCACCGGCACGTGGCAAGGTGAAGGCGGGCGTCGCATACGTAATGCAAGCGGCATTTACCGGCGGTCACCAGATGAAAAGAATAAATGTCGAGATTAGCCTATTTTCTAAAATGACGAATTGTCTGAAAATGATCATCAAATTCCATTATGCAACGTAATAGTATTTACGATATAATAATATTGGAAAAAATTGTAAAATAGACCGTTTTTACTAATTATTTAGCAAAATAAACCGTTTTGCTAAATAATTAGCAAAATAGACATCTTTTTGGCCAACAGGCCAAAAAGAGGTCTATTATGCAAAACAGTCCCGTATGTTTTAATCACGGATTAGTGAAATTTTCTACTCAGAAAACATACGGGACTACTAGTCCCGTATGTTTTCTGAGTCACTAATCCGTGATTAGTTGGCTCTAAATATACGGGACTAGTAGTCCCGTATGTTTTCTGAGCATTGTTTTTCAAAATCGACCTCTTTTTTTCAAAAGAGGTCTATTTTGCTAATTATTTTTCAAAGTGGTCTATTTCGCTATATATTTCATAAAAATGGTCTATTTTGCAAATTTTCCCAATAATATTACATTAAGTAATCTTTTTATCGGATGTAAATAGGAAAAACCCTAATGAGATTGTGCAGCTGATAAAGTACTATGTTTTTGTGTCTACGCTACATTATAATGACTATTTTAAAGATCATAGTTTGTTGAACTCTATGTATTAGAGATGTGAATGGTTTAGCACCAGAGTTTAGAAGTGTAATGCTTAGATATGCATGAGGCAATTTATATGCGCTACCAACGCCTATAGTAATGAAATAAATACTTTTCATTGACCTAAAAAAAGTTCTTGATAAAACTACGCTTAAAGCTTATTATAAGTGAAAATTACCGAAATACACATAATTTTAGCTTCATATTTATCATAGATTAGCAAAATTACCAAAATACACATAAGTGAAAATTACCAAAATACACATAATTTAACCGAAATACACATAATTTCAGCTTCATATTTATCATAGTTTAGCTTCATATTTATTGATAGTAAAAGTTATTGTCAAATTTTAAAGGGTACATAAAGTATATAAAATATAAAAGCAGAAACTGCTTTTAAAAGAACCATCTGGGGGGAGGGGGGTATCATCTAAAAGACTAAAAGCATCCCATAAAATCAGATATAAAGCAGTTAAACTTAGCATGAACAAAAAGTTTATCACGTGTCAATATTGACTTATTTTTAAAAAAAATAAAAAGCAATATCAAACTGACCTTTAGTTTGGTACAATATATAGAATGTAAAATATTGGTTACTTAGGATCTATATGTACCGATACTATAGCTGCATAGTTAATATGAATTTGGGTTCTCCCTATTATTATTGAAAAAGTAACGAAGAGACCACTATTTTATTACACTTATTCATTATCTTCTAAGTAATTGGTATTCATTCTAAATGTAACATGCTATCACATCCACATATACGAGTCTTACAAACTTCTAACTTTGTACTACAAAAATTATAGTGTATCTACAAGATAATCAAAGTTTATGATAAAATAATGATCTCTTTGCTCTTTTTTTGATAGTGAAAAAGATCCGAAATATAATTAAATAAATTTTTAGCTTGAGACTTTTCATAATTAAATTCATGCTTTACCACCGAGTCAGATCTCAACCATCATGACACAAATTAATTAGTTTTGTGGACTCTAGAAAGATTTTTTATTTTTATTTTTTGCATTTATACTATAGTTGCTTGTACAGACTCAATAGACTCCAACAGCTAGCCAAAATAAAAGTCCAATAAGGACATGATGGTCAATACAAGGAGGGATGGCCAAGTTGCGGGGGGTATGAAAAATCACACGAGGTGGTTCCGGTCACCTTCTCAAGGGCGGTACTATCCCCCTCCGTTCCAAAGATAAAAGAGTAGTTTTCAATTGGTCTACGGCGGTTCTTGTCTTTGTCTTGGAGAACGGTTGAGGTGGTAATCTGACCCACTCCTTATCTGCTCCCTCCCGTCTGCAACTCTCTGAATTAAGTACTCACCTTCTTCTCACTAGCTCAATCCAAACATATAATAAAAACAAACAACAATCTATAGGGAAAGGAGAGAAGAAGTTGGCTAGCTTTTCCTTTTTCTTCAACTCTTTCAATGGGGGAAAACGGGAGTTGGTTTTTCCATTAATGGGCTGTTTAGGTGGGAGGTCCTTCAGAGAAAGAGGAAGGAGGAAGGTTTAGCCAGTTTTCTCAATGGCAAGCAGAGGCAACAACAGTTTTTCTCATCATCAACAAGCTGGGCATGGGCAACATCAGCACCAAGAGAAGCAAATCTCTTTTGGAATGATCCAGCCCTCTTCTTCCATGCATGGCAACTTCAACATGTAAATTAATCACAAGCAATACATATTACTTATTTCGTAGACTTTTATTTTTATTTTTCTATCGTTTTGGTTCCCAGCGATTTGCGTGAGAGATGATCAGAGGTAGTGGAGTTCAGCTACAGAAGAGAAACCCTTACAATTATATGCGTGTCATGAGTTCTATCGATGCCTTCTCCTCTTATATTGGCTATTATATATTAGGGTTTTATAGCATATAAGCCTTGCATTCCAAGAGTTTTGACTCACTAACTTCTAACTTCATCATCCATGTTTTGGATCATCTCCATACATCCTTCTTTTTTTTTTGTTTCTTGTTTTTGTTATCGATTAGATTTATGCAAGAAGAAAATTTATCCATGACTTGGATGTTTCATTTTCCTCAACAAGGAAAAACATAGCGGTATAGCTAATTTAAGCCTTTGGCTTATCTTTCAGGTGTGTGTGTCCCTATAGTACTAGGAATTGAGTTAGAGATCAGGTTCTTGAATTCATTCAACCTTGATTATGGTGAGAATAACAATACGATAGAGGCAAAAGGCCTTTGACTTTCTTAATTTTGAAAATTTTGCATTAAAAAGGCTTTATTTTATGTGACTAGCTAACTACATGGACTTGGGTCATGGAAAGCCGTATTTTCCCTTAATTTCTTAGAAAAAATATTTTCCCATGCCTTTGATTTGTGATGTTAATTAGACAAATCGTGTTCAAGAGAGTCGGCCTGTATATATATGCTTTTGATTTGTGATGTACAAAAGCTTTTACCTCTTTTTTCCCTCGCTTGATTTCATGCAGAGATTTGCTAACTTACTTCAATAATACTAATTTTTTAAATAACTTTCTTTCCCCCAACTTTTATTGGATATTTAGCAGAAGCAAAGAGAGTGGGGCTTATGACTTGGGTGAGTTGGATCAAGCTTTGTTTATGTATCTCGAGGGGCAAGACCATTCATCAGTCCAAGAGCAAAGACGTGAGTCTCTTCCTATTGCCACTGTTTTTGTCCCTAAAATCAAATCTTTTTTTTTATTCTCTATTTTTCTTTTTAATGTCTTTCTATAAATTTATTGTATTAATATTGTGCTAATGTGGAAAAAGCTATGTACCTTGTATGCATCAGTTATAGATTCGTTTTAGGAAAAGCTGTTTTCTGCTGCTCATGAGAAGATCATGTCTCGGTAGATCTCTGTGCACGATGTTAGACCTGATTTTTGCCCAGAAAAGGATATAGACTCTGAATTTTATGAAAAATGAATTTGTGAGAATGATTGTCTCTTCTGCTAATTTTTTTATATGATTAAATTTTAGTTCATTCTTTGTATTCTTTTCTGAATATTCTGTGTAGACTGTGACATGTAACAGAATAATCATCATGATATCCCTGAAACAAATTCTTACAACTAAAAACAAATAGATTTAGATTTTCTCTCTCTTCCTTTTGTTCTCCATTTCTTTTCTTCTGTTTTGAATGTCAGAGAGCTACAAATGCATGATGACCCGGATTCTCTCTCTCTCTCTCTCTCTCTCTCTCTCTCTCTCTCTCTCTCTCTCTATATATTGATGACCCGGATTCTCTCTCTCTCTCTCTCTCTCTCTCTCTCTCTCTCTCTCTGTCTCTCTCTATATATCTCTATTTATTTCTCTACCATGAGTAAGAATGATACATATAGGTTACCAAAACAAAAAAGAACGATATATATAATAATATGTTATAATATTAGGTTAGAGTAAAAGTGGTGCCTTGATAAAGCTCACACACAAGTACAAATGAAATGTGGGCTGTATATATGTATTTGTTAGCTTTGATAACTCCCATTCTTCAGGAGATTTAATGCTTGCAGGGCTTCATTCATGTATGCAGAAACTTTGAACATCTTCCCCTCTCAACCAATGCATGTAGAGCCATCAACAGAGGTATACTACTTCTTTATTTCTTTATCATGAATTTGAAATTATATATAATTTTTTATATTGATATTTTTTTGGCCTTTTTTGGTAGGTTGGGATGAGTTTAGGGTCTCCGGCAAGTGGTGGCTCAAAGGGGACAATGTCAGAGCCAACCATGGAGATAGGCACCAAAAGGAACAACAACAACAACAACAGTAACATTGGTCTTCAAGCTGCTGCTACTGCATCTGAATCTTCAGCCAAGGACACGAAGGCAGTAGTGAAGGTGATCTCTCTCTCTCTCTCTCTCTCTCTCTCTCTCTCTCAAAAAACATAAACTAACCTGATGACGTTTCTACTGATCGAGTTCGAATAATTAATTAATGGTTTTCAAATAGTAACCTTTTTTATATATATATTTTTTCTTTAAGCAGAAGGAAGGGAACAAAAAGGGGGCACAGTCTAGTTCAGAACATGAAGGACCTAAAACACCTGACCCTAAGGTTTAGTTTAATTCTAGAAAAAAAATGGAATACATTAAATAAGGATAATTATCAAAGAATTTACTGAACTAATTATTGCCTTGTATATCTGCAGACTTTGAGAAGACTTGCTCAGAATAGGGAGGCAGCAAGAAAAAGCAGGCTCAGAAAGAAGGCAAGTTAATCAAAAACTAAAATATTCTCTCTCTCTCTCTCTCTCTCTCTCTCTCTCTCTCTCATCCTTAGTTCTAAAAAGAATTTATTTTTTTAACAGGCTTATGTTCAACAATTAGAGTCCAGTAGGATCAAGCTAACTCAGATAGAGCAAGAGCTTCAGAGGGCTAGAGCTCAGGTACATTTTTTTTATTTTACTGCTTTATTTTTTGTGTTTTCCTTTACTCACTGCAATATTCTTAGCTATTTTCTCACAAAATATTAGGGTGTGTTCTTTGGTGGTGGAGGCGTTCTTGGTGACCAAGGACTTCCTGCAGGCATCGGCGGCCTTACTTCAGGCATTAATCTTCCACTCCAAACCAGGGATAATTAAGCTTACATTTTCTTTTTTTAATCTTTTTTCCCATTAAAATGATTTTTCTTGTATTTACTTGGATTAGATGCTGCGGTGTTTGACATGGAGTACGGGAGGTGGCTAGAGGAGCACCACAGGCTCATGTGTGAGCTGAGAGCGGCAGTGCAGGAGCACCTTCAGGAGAATGAGCTGAGGATGTTCGTCGATAATTGTTTGCACCACTACGATGAGATGTTCAGCCTCAAGACCATGGCTGCCAAATCCGATGTCTTCCACCTTGTTTCTGGCATGTGGAAGACTCCAGCGGAGCGATGCTTCTTGTGGATGGGCGGGTTTCGCCCGTCAGAGCTCATCAAGGTCCTTGTAAACCCTAACCCTAGACGAAAGTCATTCATGATTCCAAACCTAAGTCATGAGATTTATGCTAGTATACAGTAAATCATCTTGATATATATATATATATATATATATATATAAGGAAGGGAAATGTAGGTGAAGATCAGACAGCTAATGAATCATGTGTCACATTAATTATAAACTTGACCTAATTAAAATGAACTCAAAGAAATTCTACGTCAATGTCAAACTTTATTTACAGTACGTTGTCACCTAATATCACCTCTACATATTTTCAAGAAATTTCATATAAAATTATCTGAGTTATACTATCTCTAAAAGCTACAGTTTACAAATTTGCTTGCTACTTAAAGATATACGAGTGACACACTTTTTTTCCTTTGTTGTAAAAGCCTTAAATTTTAAATATGTTACAAACAATGCTATACAACTAACGATTTATATAAACATGGTCAAGTACACAATAAATATTGCTTAATTAGAGAAGCAAATTAAAAATTACTTTAAATATCAAAGGAAGTGATAAAAAATATCCTTTAAGTTGGTTAACAACCTTGGGTCAACAATACGAGTTTTTCATATATATATATTTTAAAATTATTTAAAGAGTTCTAAAACTTTTTTTTACATTAGAAAATCAGAATGTTGAAGAAGTTCTGATAATTATAACAACCAGCCTCATCTAAAACGTAATGCAAGATGCTGCCAACTAGTTTGTAATATTCTAGAAATGATGGTTTTGACGAATATTTTATGAAGACAAATTAAAGGGTCGTTATTAGGTTCATAGGAAAGCACTCCCAATATATATATGCTGCGACTAAAATTGCCAAGTATTGCAAAGTATTGCAAAGTGTTTCCTGGTCGTCTCTTTGAAGTAGACAAATTAACTTGCTATATTCAAGAGGTTCAGAATTCTATATTTTTCTGCACTTACTGGAAGATTTTAGGTTCAAATTGATTTGTTAATTTTAGCACAACTTTTTCTAATACCAGCTAGGGAGATCGAAGACATTAGGTGCAAATTACTATAGATATGACTAACGGGGGAATGTCACCAATATCTGTTGGAATGTCCAATTCTCTCTTTTTATGCTAGTCCATGGTTAGATGGACTTTATGGTTCAATTTATGAAGACTTTGACATTGTTCTTCCCTTCTTTGTCACAAAGTTATGTTAAGGAAGGGAAGTTGGTGGTGTGGTATGGGAGTGGATAAATCAAAATGTGACAAATTACAAAAATGTGGAGAAGGCTTTCCTCTAATGGTGGAGATGTGGCCATACCTTCATGTATTTTATAAAGTTATGTTAGTTTTTACCTGAAAATGGGAAACAAAAAGGAACAAGAGTCACCGTAAATGAATGATCGATCCGTTGCTGATCCGTGCAAGCATGGTCCTTTTATTCCCCTACCCTTCATAGTTTGTACACCACATAATAAATGAGCAAAAGTTGCAAAACGCATGGGATACATTCTATCCAGTTATTCATTTTCTAGAGATGTTAATCTTCCCCCCTTTTTTTTATTTTATTGAACTCAACTCATAACACATTTTATTAGATTATGAATTTCTAGGCATAACTAAAAAAAAAAGTAATGTCTCTTTTTATATAACTTCAAAAAAGTAATGCCTCTTTTTATTGTGGTTCCTAACTATATATAACATATAAATCTCCCAAAAAAGAATGAACAAGCGTACGCTTAAAGTGTTTTATTCTATGATTCCTTGACACACACACACATATATATATATAATATATACATATAATGATTCTTTTCTTGCATGAAGAAACATATTTGTCTCAAAAGAATTTAAGTTTCATGGATTTGCACGTTATACATCCTCTTTTGCATATCAAAGAAAAAGTTAGATACTAATTTATCTCCAACAATTTACTTTGTTTGGTAAATTGGGTATGTAGATTCTTTTGAGCCACATAGAGCCATTAACGGAACAACAAATACTAGGAATATGCGCGTTGCAACAATCGACACAGGAGACAGAGGATGCACTTAGCCAAGGGCTTGAATCCCTTTATCAGTCTCTATCTGACACTGTCGTCTCCGATGCTTTGAGTTGCCCCTCCAACATGGCCAACTACATGGGGCAGATGGCTGTTGCCATGAACAAGCTCTCCACACTCGAGGGGTTTGTTCGACAAGTAAGTTTTACTACCTCTTTTACCACTCGCAAATCAAACTTATAGTTAACTGCTAATTTATCGTACATCTTTTATACGTAGTAGAAGTAATATTATCATTATGATCGATTGAGATTTGATATTCTAGTTATAAAATGTTCGCATGGTTTTTCAATCTAATAGTCAAGATGGTTTTATTTCAAACCGGTGCAATCCATTTATTTTGTTTCTTCATATTTTCACAATGTGTTTTAAAATTTTTGCATTCACAAGCATAGATATGTTTGACTTAGACGTTATGTATTAGTTATAGGCTATACTGAAACATTGTGCTCGAATCAGCGGGACTTCTGGAGGGTTGATGAGACATATGGCCTTATTAATAGAATTAATAGTTAAAAACAACATTTATTGGATAGCTTTCTCCCCTAAATTAGGAGAAGCATAAGGAACCTACCAATTTCGAAGGAAAAAACATTATGTTGGAATCTTGAGTAGGTTTTACCTTGATGGAACAAGTATTAGCTCTACTTGTCCTAACAGAACTGGACCTAATTAGGCCATAATTAATTTAAAACAGGGAATTCAATATGATTTTAATTTCTTTGATAGTTTCATTATTTAGTTGTTAGGTTATTGAAAGTCCTAGTACAGCTCAATGGTTTAGGTAGAAATATATATATATGCATGCCACAGTTCTATTATTTTCAAAACAGGCCCTCGGTTAACATCACCTAGTCCACGATCCCTACAAAGAGAATGGGATTTAAGGTATATGCATGAAGGCTCTGTTGCTATCAGAAACAATGATATTTGGAACACGAAGATTGTATTAATTTGACATCTCAATGAATGAAAAATATTTGGCATGCCTCCATGCTCTTCACCTCTCACCATCATATCATGAAAACAGGGCCTAATTGATGTTTATGGTCATGGTATCAAATTTTTCCCTCTAGAATCCTTGCAAAATACCTTGTTTCACACTGTATAAGGCTTCTTCTAACCAAATAAGGCAATAATTCTACATCCATCCTCAACATTTGTCTCAAGTTTAGGTGAATGCTCAATTATTCATCCTCGTCCAATTAAAAGTCAAAAAATGTCCCCCTTTTTCAATGTAACTATTATTTTCCATATATACGTCCAAGTGTGGGTATTCTAATGTTTCTAGTTGTTATGTCTTACTATTTTCTAAGCCTAGTTACCAGTTATAAATGTGTATTATCAGTTTAGCTGATAATTATGAATTCTTACAGGCAGATAATCTGAGGCAGCAAACCCTCCACAGGCTTCACCAAATCCTGACAACACGTCAAAGTGCTCGCTGCTTCCTGGCTATCGCCGAATACTTCCATCGCCTTCGTGCATTGAGCTCCCTCTGGATGGCTCGGCCAAGGCAGGAGTAGTTGCCATCAAAGCGCTCTGGAGAGGGAAAATGGGAGAGGTGATCAAAAGAAAGATTAATCATTACCAGTTGTCTCACTCTCAAATGTTTTCTTCTTTGTTGATTAAAGGAGTTAATTAATATAGAGATGTCAGGGATCTCCTCCATTTTTGTGGAGAAAGATGTATAGGGATCAGACATATATAGATCACAGACAGATATACATTGAATTAATGTTGTATTAGAATAGGGCTTCACCCATTTCTCTACTCTTTCTGATTAGTTAGCTTACCTTTGTATTAAACCAGGAGAGTACTTATAAATACGTAGTTGCAGTGGAGACTTGGGAATTAGTATTTGTATTTCTCAGAAGCAGTGAATGGAGAAGTGGGTTGAGGTGATCTTGCAAGATCAAATTTGGGGTTTGTCTCAATTTTTTCTCTCTTTTTATTTTTATTTTAATAGGTTGTGCTGTAATGTACACTAAGCTAGTAGGATGGGGTTGGTTCTTGTCCATGTGGCTCAAGGCGCGGTGCATGCTGTGGAATATTTGGCGAATAGGACAGAAGACAAAGGGGTTGCAAATGGACGTTGGCTAAAATGTTGAAAATTTCGATCAACATTTGTTGTCCGGTACTTTAATATTTGATTTTTAAAAAATCACCAAATATTAACATATAGAGAGAACATTTTTTCGATCATAATCGTCAATGAGAGAAGAGAAGAGATAAAGATCAGCTCTGCCTTTGTTGTCGCATTGTGCTCTAGCCTCTTTAATATACCTTTTTTTTAGTCAATGAAAACTTTTATTCATTCACCAACATGAGCATTGTTTGTACATCAGAGTTCTCAGAGAAAATTGAGAAATCTCAACTGTCAAAAACAAAGAAATGAGCCACAAAGCTCAAAAACAGTGCAGGAACTTGCAAAGATATTGTCCAACCTTTACACTCCTTAAAAATGGAACAATTAAGAATGATCAGGAGGATGGAAATTATGAATGTGGAATGGTGGGACAACAGATGGTGGAGCCCCCCATGCTTCCCCATGCTCACCCATACTCTCTTGTCCCCTCTTCTTTGCCTATAAATAGAAGAGGTGAGGAAGAGAGAAGTTATGGGAAAGAAAAGAAAAAGTGTTGTGGAGAGTAAGTGAGAAGAGTGAGTGAGAAGAGAAGAAAAAGAGAGCTTGTGAGTTGTAAAATTTTGGTATTCTCCTCATAGTGAACCCACCTCCCGTGGACGTAGGCAAGTTTGTCGAACCACGTAAATCTTATATATTAAACTGTGTGTTGGCTATTGCTTGTAGGTTCGCTTGACATTCAGTCCTAGAACTGCTGAGAGGAAGAGTGTATATCTCACTTTGTTGAGATATTTTACTTTTATTCTTGTTTCCTTTGTGAAACGAGAATATAGAGGTTGACTTGAGCTTTTGTGAAAACAAAAGCCAGAATTTTCTCTCGGATGATATCGTTTCCGCGACGTGAAGACGCGATTCAACGCCCCATAATTGGTATCATAGCTCTTTATTCAGATTGAAGGTGGCAAAATTTCTGATCTGAGGTGATGCTTGATTATTGTGTAGTAAACACAAGGTATTTGTTAAAATTCCTGAGAGAAGCGGTTTTATTAATACAAGCAGAGAATGACGTCTTATAGTAAAACAATTAAAATTGAAAGTACGAGATTAAAAATTTTAATGGGAAGAATAATTTTTCCTATTGGAGGATACAGATAAAATTCGTTGATTTGGGAGAAATTGCACAAGACTTTACTAGGAAAAGAAAAGAAGCACAAAGATATGTCCGATGAGGATCGGTAAGAGTTAGATCTCGAAGCACGAGCTTCGATTATCCTATGCCTTAAGAGGGATGTTGCTTTCTTGGTAAATGGAGAGGAAACGGCTGCGGGCGTGTGGTCAAAGTTAGAGAGTACCTTCATGATGAAGAGTCTAACAAATCGGATCTACTTAAAGTTCAAATTGTATACTTACAAAATGGAGGAAGGCTCGTCAATTCGGGAGTGTATTAAAAAGTTCGATAGGATCATATCGGATTTTAAGGATATTAATGTGACAGTAGAAGATGAGGATCAAGCACTTCTTCGATCTACTTCTTTCTTTATCGAAGTCTTATGAGAACTTGGTATAAATATTGATGCTTATAGGAGACAATAAGACGATGGATGAGACTAGAATGGCGCTTCTGACGGATGATCTTCGAAAAATTACAACTAGTGACATGGCCACTAGTGGTAACAAGGAGAAAGCTCTGAGACTATTTGCTAGAGGAAGGGTCAATGAGCGAGGAAAGGGCAATGAGCGAGGAAAAGGCAAGGGAGAAAAGTCTAGATCAAAATCCTGACCTCTTGTAGGAACATATCATGAACAAATATTTGTACAAAGAAGCATAATTTGAATTTCTGCACTGGAGAAGTAATTATGGGAAGAAATTAAAGGTTAATGAAGAATAAAATCCAAGATCTCTTCTTTTAACAAAAGCCCATTGAATTAATGAAGAAAACAAGCAAAAGGCCTAAGAATCCAAGCCCAAAAGCTCAAAGAATAAAAATGTTTCCTTAGGACTTAAGTCTTCATCCAAGGGCTCTCATTCATTGTTGTTTACTATAAATAGGGGTAGAGAGTGAGAGGTTGAGGGTGTAAAAAATTTTGTATCTCTATTTGGAGAGAAGGGTTACTCTTAATTGAGAAGACCTTCCAAACTTATAACTTTTTGTTATAATTAATAAAAGAATTTTTTTCACCACTTTAATTTTTTTTTTCTTTTCTTTGTTGGATGATGAAGATGAAGATGAAGATCAATTTGAAGGTTTGTTTTTATTTTCTCTTTTATTTCTTTTTTTTTTGCTTATTAGTTTAGATTTAATTCTATGCTTGTAGTTAGATTTTATTTTCTTATTAAATAGCCAAGAGGGTAGAACCCTCTTTCCTTAGATTTATTTTATGCTTATAAGTTAGATTTTTTTTTGCATTTAATTCTTGTAATTTAGTTTGTAGTTTAGATTTTGTAATTTATTTTGTAGTTAGATTTTAATTTCTTGTACTATTCACCTTGAGGCTAGAACCCTCTGTTTGGGTTAAAAGTTGTTGTTTTATTGTGATTGAATCTATTACAACTTTAATCGTTTACAATAAACTCAAATAAAAAGTTGATCTTTTTTACAACTTTAATCGTTTACAATAAACTCAAATAAAAAGTTGATCTTTTTATAAGATCTCCTTATACAATAAAAATAACAATAAACTCAAATAAAAAGTTGATCTTTTTATAAGATCTCCTTATACAATAAAAATACAAAAGATATAACTTTTGTCAAACAGCGTAACGGACGTTTATCACCCGCTGCTTGCGTGGGAACTTTGCCTGTGCCGAGGACGTTGATATCCGTGGATCGTCGCAGATCAGATCCGATTGACAGATTGATGATCAAAGCTCTTACTTCACGAAGAACGTAATCGCTGCAGCAGTAATCTCGACCAAGCGGGATCACGGTTTTTCTCAAGATTTAAGACCAAGCTTAAATCCGGAGGAATAGGGGACGTGTCTCAGATCTCTCGAACTCTATTCTTTATGCACAGGAGATCGCCAAGATCTGCTAACCCTTGCTATAAATTTGTGGCTCCACTCTCTAATTCGGTAGCGTTTCGCCCCCTTGATCTTCAGGCCCTGGAGAAATGAGCACCCGAGCTCCTATTTATAAGCTTCGGGAGCATGTATTTGGATAAGAACGAGGGATTCCTCCTTATCTTCAGTTGAGAACTGAATAACCACAATATCAATTAGTTAGGATGCTCAGGAACGAACAAATCCCAAGAAAAACTGTCAAAACCGAAACAGGATCAAATCTGACCGAAGCGTCACCCGGTGACTCGGCTTGGCCGGGCCACCAAATGGTGGCTCGGCCTTGTGCTGAGCCACTGGCCCGACCGAATCATTTTGACGCGATCCGACCGTCAGAGGTTTTCTTGGTTTTCTCGGGTTTGACTCGTTCTGTCTTTACGCGTATTTCATCGTTTCGTTGATCTGTACGCTGTTTTGGTGGCCAGTGAGCGTGCGGGCCACTTGGTGGTAGCCGGTGAGTACGCAGGCCACTTGGTTCACCGATTTAGTGGTCGATGAGCGCACAGGCTATTCGATTCGCCGTTTCACTTCATGTGTTCATCGGCATTGGATAATCCTCTTATACTTAGATAATGGCGTTCATCACATTCTTTCTGTCTCGAGCTGTATTCAGAAACCTATAGGTAATTTTTGACGCCTACAGATACCCCCTCTAAAGAATTTCAGACTCGTTCTTTTATAGGGGAGTCTGGAATGCTTTGGATAAGATAGGTCCTTTCCTCAATCCCGTAGAGGGACCTGTGAACTACTTGAATTCTTGACTACTTCAGCCTTTAGTTTATTCAGTATTTTATCGAATAGATGAAGTTTTTTCGGTGCTGCCTTTATCGTCTGACCATTAACAAAATCTTGGATTGAAGTTGATGCGTCAGTTTTCGAATTTAGATCTTATCGTTGAGTTGACTTTGAACTGATTATCTTTGTCAGAAATTCATATCTGAATGTGATTGAACTCCCTGGAATCATCCTTTTCCTTATTTTAGCGAAATTGTTGATGTGTCGACCAGCATCGGCCTTTATTGTAACGCGTTATCCGGCGTTAACACAGTTTATACTCATACGTTAGCTGGAGTCTACACAGTTTAAGCTTTTAAGGCATTAGAGTGTGACGGTCCCAAATATTAGGCTGCAGGACCAATTATTTAAAACTGATTCATCTGTATGTGTGGATCTTATCCCGAATTTGTTAGATGCCAAGTCACGATACCAACTAATGAGGCTAGTGCGTCAATGACTTTCGCATATATAGGATTTTTGGCAAACCCTCAGCCATTAACGGGTTTGATGAGCCTTTACCGATTACCGTTTGAGTCGAGCTAGCATGTGAATTGTTTAAACACGTTTTCACATGTAACGTTGTGCTAAGAGAATTAACTCTCTTAGTGCTACGATATTGAATACGTAGACTTCGTCTTTCTCACGGGAATAGACTACCTGGCTACGTATGTTAGACGTAGACTTAGGATTTTTAGCAAATCCTCAGCCATCAACGGATTTGACGTGCCTTTACCGACTACCGTTTGAATCGGGCTTGCATGTGAATTGTTTAAACCCGTTTTCATATATAACGTTGTGCTAAGAGAGTTTAGTGCTATGATATTGAATATGTAGACTTCGTCTTTCTTACGGGAATATACTACCCGGCAACACGTGTTAGACGCCGACTTATCCTTACTTAGGATTCGGGTTAAAATTCCCCGTGCGTGTGAAGTACGGATTTTGACACTATGAATAACAACCTACCACAATGTCTAATATGTGGGCTTTTATTCTTTTTATGGTTAAGAACTAACCGGCAACGCGTGTTAGGCATTGACTTATCCCTGCTCAGGATTCAGGATAAAATTCCCCATGCATAAAGGCATGGATTTTTGTTACTATGATACTGAATACGTAGACTCGGTCATTTTTATGAGA